AGAAGAAAGTTTTAGTTTTAGATGCATATGCAAAAAGGGAAAAAAAGAGTATAAGGGAGACTAGCCTATTTCTAACTTAATGTTATCATACAATGGTAGTCCTAAGGTTTGGATTAACAAAAGGGAAATGTCTACCTAATGTTAGCATGCATGGTTTACAACCTAAGGTATAGTTTGCATCCGAACGGAGCAATCACATCCTAAGGGAGCATGGTATGTACAAGGGTAAAGCAAGCAAGATTGAAAGAGCACACACATCAAAGAGTAAGGAATATAAGAGAAATGCTTTAGCCAATGGGAGTGTATCACCCGAGACAAACAAGCGGGAGTGAGATGAAGAAACAAAAAGTGACATCCAAAGCGATTGAACACCTAACAAAGATATAGGAGATCGAGGTAGGCGACATAAGACGATATGAATAATCATGGAGTATCAGCATCAACCAATGTGAACTCCTGTCAAAGCGCGGGGGTTCGATTACGAAACCCTTCCCCACTTGACGACTCGATACACATGAGGAGGCACAACTCCGAAGCATCGTGGTGCGTCACAAGCTAAGGATGACACAAACGAAATTTTTGGGGTTGATTTCTAGCCCTTAGCTAAGGGCGTCTACTATCATCATTCTCCTTGCAAAAATTTGTCTGCTTTAAGAATTTCATGGTGATTTAACGTTTTATCAATCTTAAGAGGTGGCAAGGATCCCATTTAGGTGTCCGACATTTTGTTCGCCTCTGTGGGTAGTAAGGATCCTAATTTTGGATCCAACATTTTGATTTCCCCTATGTGCGAAAGGGATCCCACTTAAGAATCTAACATTTTGATCTTCTCTGTCGGTGATAAGGTTCCCATTTAGGAATCTAACATTTTGATCGCCTTTGTGGATGAAAAGGATCCCACTAAAGGATCCAATATTTTTTTTAATACCCCAATGGGCGTCAAGGATCCTACTTAAAGATCAATAAATTTGATCGCTTGTATGGGTGGCAAGGATTCCACTTGGAGATCTACCATTTTGATCACATAAATGGGCGATAAGGATCCCACTTAGGAATACCAGATTTTGATGACCCCAATAGGCGGCAAAGAGCCTAGTTAAGGATCCAATGTTTTGATCTCCTCTGTGGTAGACAAGGATCCCACTTAGGGATCAAACATTTTGATTACCCGAATTGGCAGCGAGGATCCTATTTAAGGATCCAGCGTTTTGATCGCCTCACCGAGCAATCTTCTCTTGAGATTTAAGGTTTCTTATAAAGAAAGGAATAACCCACAAACACATATGCTCTAAGATAATAAAATGAGGCGCCTTAGTAAAAACCCTCACCATATGAAAAGTGTTTAGGGAAAAGAGTGTACCTCATGAAATAACTTGTCCTTGCAATCGGCTAAAATTCAATACTCGCCTATAAAAATCAATAACAAAATAGCCAAAATTAGTAAAGAAAAATAGACAACAAAAATGTAGGTGGCTCAAAGGGCATTCATTATGGGCCTTAAATCTTTTATCTCTTCACTAGTTAGAGAGGGAGCCTCCTCATTTTGTAGGTTCCTCCCGGTGGCTTTATTCCTGAGCCCACTTTCCAAACTTTTACACCTAAAGTGCGGATCATTTTCAATTTGAGACTCTCCACAAAACATTTTTCGTAATCTCCAAGTCTCCTAGGACAAGTTTGACTCTCCCATCAGAGAATAGGTATATGCATAAATACAAATTGGAAAAGGTGGCACCTAATTGGTTAAAAGAGGTTGCCATATAATCATTTTGTAAGAAGAGGGTGCGTCAATATCCAAATAATTGACCATTATTTCTTTGACCTGATTCTGCTCTCCAAAAGTGGTCTTCAACGTGATGTATTATTTTACTTGTACATGCTCCTTAGAGAACCCAACCAACGAACCTTTAAAGGTTTTTAAGTCCTCTGGACGCCTTCTAATATATGATGTCTGCATAGTTTCCTTAGTCTATAAGGACTATTTTGATCTCCCATTCGTCACATCTGACGGTAATGACCATGGGGTCATCATTGTGAGGGTAGATTCCAATTACATCCTTATTTGAGAAGGTGATCGTGGCTTCTAGAGCTCGGGCCTCACCTTAACCTTTGCATCAGTGAGGGCTTCTATATTCAGGATTTGGCGAGCGTACCTTATAGGAAAAGTTAGTCTCCCTGCCCCAAGTGAATCCTTTGCTATGGTGTTAAGCATGTGGTGCATAACTTTACCGCCATCTCCTTAGGATACTTCCTTTCATTTGTTGGTCTCAGGGCTTTCTACATCATCTCACCCACTCGAGTTGAACTTTTCTGACCCATGGGAAGAATTGCCCTTTACATATTTGTTGAGGTGTCCCTCCTGGATTAGTCTCTCAATTTATTTCTTAAGTTGATAAAAATATTTAGTGTGATGTACCTTAACCCTATGTAACTTGCACCATCTTCCTGGTTCAGGACCCATTACACCAGCCTTCAGAGCGGGCGACATAGAGATGTTGTGCAATTAAGAACCTCGCATCAGATCTATTCACGATAGATGTTTAGGGGCATGAAGTTATCCATTATCTCCAATACTCTCTTGAACATAGTCTTGTATTTTATGGGAGATGTATAATTACTCTTCCTCTGGTGTTTCGAGCCCTCGTTGTTGGGAACATGCTTCTTGATATCCCCACTTTCTTTTTGGTGTTGCTCTCCTCACCCTTTATGTAGCATTCTGCTATGGTGACCGTTTCTTCTAAAGAAAGCGATGAATTCTGGGAGAGTTACTCTTTGAAGTGTCTCGCCATGAGTCCATTATGGAAAACCCCATAAACATTTCTTAGTTTTATGGTATGACCTTGTTGATGGCTTCATTAAATCGGGCGAGGTAGTCCCTTAGCGACTCTAATGGACCCTAACATATGTTGAACATGTTTGTGGCATATATTTTCCTATGAAAACTAGCATAAAACTGGTGTACACGTTTCTTTACTAACTTTTGATAATTGGTGATGGAGGCATGAGGTAGACCCATATACCATCATCGGGCATCGTCCCTGAAAGGGTCAGACAATAACTTGCATTTCAGAGAGGTGGGCGCTCCTACGATGACCATCTGTGTGTTAATGGAGGTGAGGTGGTCATATGGGTTAGTGCACCTGTAGAACATGGCCCTAGAAGGATGTTTGAATTCCTCAGGGACATTGCGCTCTCCATATCTCGTTTGAGAGTTGGTGGGGCTCCAACACTTCCATCTTCTTCCGGGGATTGGATTTTTACTAGTGTTGTCTTATATTATGGACATCGTCCTCTAATTTATGGTTATGGAAGTGTAATTCATCCATGGTGACACGCATCTTCACTAGGGTGTTGGCACCACCTCTACTGGTAGTACCTTCTAGCGTATGGGGTAGAGCTCTCTAGTTAACCATGGCTGAAAGTGGCTAGGTGTATGAGTTAAGGGTAACATTGAGTAGGGTGATGGTAATGAATAGGGTGTGGCCTAGGTTAAGTTTACCAGGGACCCACGATGGTGCCACTGTATTGATCAAAAAGTATATGTGTATGTGTTACCCTTGCAAGGGCAGGGTACTCAGAGGCCTTAATAGGTGTAGCGATAAAAAAATGTAGTTGTGTAAATCAGAGATTGAACTATTAATTAACTCGACTCGCAAAAGCAAGAGTCGCCACCATGATTTATCATTTCCAAGGGAAAAGAGAAAAATAAAACCCTTAAATAGGCAATATAAAGTAATACTTAAAAGTAATAAAAATACAATACATTTTTTGAAAGTGATCGAAGGTTCGGGGGTTGGTTATAGAAAGGGAAGGTACTAGCATCCAATGCATCTGTGGTACTCCGCAGGAACCTTTTGAAATATCTGTTTTTTGGTTAAAATTGTTTGTTTGGTTAAAATCGGTGTGAATGAAATTTTGAAGATACGACGACCTAGTGTCGAAGTTTTGACTTAAAAAGTGTGAGTTTTAAAATTGAGTCTTTTAGGAAAATTAACTTAAGATTAACAAAAGTAGTAAAACAAAAATGAATGAAGGGATTTGCACAATCGTATAAGATGTATTTGATGACACGAAGTCAACAAAGTTAAAACATTTCCCTTAGAATTAATCGAGCAAGCAAAACAAAATAAATATTAAAATATAAGCATTCAAAATTTCATAAGAAAATAAATCTAACAAACATAATAGTAACAAAAAGGGCATCGAGAAATTTAATTTAAACTGACAAAGGCAATCAAATATAAATGAAAAAAAAAAGGATATGACTAATTATCTAAAGAAGTTATTTGAACTAAATTAAGAATTTAAGATTACTAGATTAATTTTAAACTAACTAATATAAAGATATTCTAAACAAACTACAAATTCTAAAGTTATCAAACTAACTAAAAATTATCCTAAAAAACACTAAATTAATTCTAAACTTAAACTAATTAATAGAAATTGACAAGGATTATCTAATACTAGAAAAATTCATGATTAATCAATTGATCTTACTAACTAAACTAAGTTAATAAAAAAACTAAGAAAATTTAATAAATCCAACTAATTACTAAAGGGTGGTGTAAGCAGAATAATAGGGTGGAGAGCTAGAAACCGGTTTGGGCTTTACAAAATAGAAAAAAGAAAACAGATTGGCCCAAAACGAAAATTATGAATTAAGGAAAACCCTTGAAGCTCTAAAGGCAGTCGTTGGCTGTCATTATTGGGAAGGGAAAGTTACAGACATTAATCATCATTATTTCCAATAGAAAAAGCAAATAAAAGGACAGTTGAAACAAATATTATACAATCCTCTCTCTCTCATTCGTATCATCACCGTCATCTTCCCTAAATTACTGCTATATTGTTGATTAGAATTCCTTTCAAGTAAACACTAATAACACCACTAGCTCCAACCAAATTTTGTTGATTAACGAGCCTACACAACAGGTTCTTCAATCTCCGACGATGTTCCGATCTGAAAGGTTTAGTACAAAGTCCAATAACATAGAAAGGTTGAGATGATGAAGGCGGAGGGAGAATCGAATGCGCTGGAGCTGAGCGGAGCAGAAGAATCAACCTTCTTCTCCTTCAATCACTGCCTCTCAACCTTTCACCATCGTTCGTCTCGCCACGCTGAAGCCACCGTACAACCTCTCTTTCCACATTCTTCATTCTTGCTTCTGCATGATTTCACGATCTCCTCCGTCTTGTTTCAACGTCTCACGATCGAGCCTCCATCTCCGTTCGTCATCGTTTATGCTCCGTCGATCTCAGCTTCTACATCACCCCACCTTCGCTTCTCAGTCAAAGTATCCCCGATTCGACTTCTACTTTTTCGGTCTGTTCTTGAAATTTCTGTGTTACGATTGTTGTTGAGATTCAGGATGCGGAACAATGTTATTGTTGGAGTTTGTGATATTGTTTGTGCGATTCTGATACGTGAGATTGATGCATTGATGATGCAGGAACTTGATGATAATGATGAAGATTAGCGGTGGTATTGAAGAGGTTGATGAAGCAGTATTGATGAGTTTTCTTTTTCTGTGTAATTGTATTTTGGTTTTTATCTAACATTTTATAACATTTACCAATTACAACAATTTTCAGAATATATATATATATATATATATATATATATATATATATATATATATATATATATATATATATATATATATATATATATATATATATATATATATATATATATATATATATATATATATATATATATATAAAAGGTTGTGATAAATCAAGCATTCATATGGCATAAAGAAAATGATGCCAAGAGAATAGTCAACTATGTAATGAGGGTAATGTGCAAGCGGAGCAAAACTGATACCGATGTGTGAAAGAAGATTATGAAAAGATTATGTAGAATATAATGGAGAGGAACATATCTATCGAAGTCTCTCCGATGGAACTTAAAAAATAGTAAGTTCTCCCTCCCTTTGTTGATACTCAAACTTTTTTAACTCTGATTTTTGCTGTGATTCTTGAAAAAAATTTCTCTCCTTTTTCTTTTCATGAAGATGGCCTTTTATAGTGAAATATGTGGTGTTTTAGGGGGAAAATGTGATAAATTTGAATATTTATGAATGCCCTATTTTGATGCTTTTTTTATACAGTTTTGAGTTGCCATTTTGGTGTAACCTCTTGGCTGTTATGATGCAGGGCAGCAGTGGCATAGCAGACTGTTCTGGACTGATTTATAGTAGTTTTTTGGAAGAACTTGGATCATTGCATGCTTCTGTTTTTTGAACTGGTTTCTAGTATTTTTGGGCAGAATTTAGAATTTAGACCATTGCAGGCTGCTATTTAGACAACAAAAGTACCATAAAAATTGGACTGTTATTGTGTTGAAACATGGCTGGAAAATGAATAGCATGTTTGAAGCATGAAGCTTTAGGACATTAGAAATATAGTTTTGATTTTTTATGTACAAACTTGTAATTCCTCTTGTAACTTTGTAGTGATAATTTCAAATAAAATTGTAACATGTAATTCTCTTGAATGAATATGAATAGAATTTTTGACTTGGATGAATCATGGGTGAAACTTGAAGAATTATCAACATTGTAACAAGTCTTGAATTTAAATGTGACTTGAAATACTTCAATTGAATTTGGAATGGATTTATTTTGAAATTTGGAGTCTTCCATTTAAAATGGAATTAATCTCATGCCTTTGAATGACTTTGAAATATCATGCCCTTGAAAATAATCTTGAGGAAATGCAATGTGATGACTGGTCTGAATCTTGAATGAACCCTTTTGATAAATTCTATTTAGTTAACACTTGAATTCACATGATGAAAATTCAAAGTATTCTAAATAAATTCTTCCAAAGCATTCTTGAATTCAATCATCCCACTATAACGAAATTCACCGTGCGTCATGTAAGTATAAGAATTTGAACCATACTTAAAAGCTTCGAATGATCACTAGAAGAGGGATTTGAGGCGAAATGTTATCACATTGAGAATTTGGCACAATGAACTAAATTTAGAGATCTAGAAACTCTTAGATCTTGACAAACGTTCTATAAAGGCTTTTCATGGCTTTCTAAACACAATTTGTCTCAAACTTTTAAAAGAAAATTTACAGATGACTTTTAGTCGAAGTATTTGGAATTCACTTGCATAGCCTGATCTTTTCTTGTATTTCAAGGCAAGATAAAACACACGTGAACCAGTGATCATGGAATATTGACTGTTTATTTTGAAGAATTTCGGAGAAGCTTGAGGCCACTTGTTGAACAGAGCGTGGAAATAAAACACGATTCTCTGAAAGTTCCCCGAAACAAGCTATCACACTTGAGATATCCGTGATCAAAATGAGCATGAACGATGTTCGAGACTCCATGCTCTGAGATTAGAAGTTGTGCCTTGATGAATCAGTCTTCGAGAATCAATGATCAATTGTACTTCTGACTTGAGAGACTCAAAACCCTAATTGAGGCGTGACGCCTGATGCTTTTGATTCAGACTTGTTTCTGCATAAAGAAACAAAAACATACACTTCGTGTTTGATTAAAAGTTAGTCATGCATAAGAAAAAATGTTCACAACACTCGATAATCTCCGCACAAGAAATGCTCGAAGGTGAGAAGTTCGAAACCAACCATATTTCGTGACCTTGATGTGTATAGAAAAAATGTAAATGAAGATGGGATCTTAGGTCAAAAATTAGGGTATGACAATAAGTATATTACGTTGTATGATGGTTAGGGCTTAACCACAGAGTCGAGAAGCTCTGTATGATGGTGTTTTGCGGTGGTATAGAGGACCTTCTCATGTGAGGTGAGAGGCTTTGTATGTAGCGTGATACTTTTGTTGGATAAAAATAGTGAGGTATGATCTATATGAGTTAAGATATACCCCCCTCTCTCCCTATAATAGATGTATATATAGAGGCATTTTGAGTATAGGTTTTCGGAAACCCTTAGGGGTGGCAACTGCTCCCTCATGACTAGAGTAGATTGTTGATCAAGTATTCTTTAGGGAATCATGGAGAACTATCTATCCAATGACTAATTGAGAACAACAGTATTATACACGTCACAACCCCATAGGCGAACTCCTGCTTTATTTTGATGTCACCCAAGTGACATCACTCTTAGATGGGAACTTCGTCGCCCTTGTTTAAGACTCCCACAAATATAACACTACAGCCTTATTTATTTAAAGAAACTTATTTACTTGATTACAAGAAAGCAACAAAAATTTCCTCCAATATTATAAATAGTTAGAATTAGGATTAAATATAAAAAAACTAAGACAAGTGCATTTTTTTCTTTTGATTTTTTATTTTGATTTATAACTAAAGTGAAATAATTATTAACCGAGCGGAATTTGAAAATACCCTCGAGTCAATAGTTGAAGGAATCAAGACACTCGAATTTGCAGAGAGAACAAAAGACTAGCTAAGCTAATTTAAGACTGAGAGATATGGTTTTTACACAAGTAAGTTCCCTAAATAAGCATAATTTGGAAAATATATTAGAAGCTAGAGAATTTATAAATTTTATACTACAACATTCTCTACAAAAACATAAAACAACTATACAAAATAAGGAGTTCTAAAAAAAACTTGTTCACAATGTGCAATGACTTTGGCATAAAGAGAACTTTCATCCTTAAAAGGACATGATTTCCCTTAGAAAAGTTCCACTTACATCACCCTTATATAAAGACTAGTGTTTTCATTTGAGGTATCATATATTACAATCTTGTATATTTTCTCATAAAATGAAACGGAGTATTAGTAAGAGTTAAACAAAAACAAAGGTGGATCAACATTAAGGATTTAAGGATACAATCATCGATGAAATTTTATCTCATTTCTTCTCAGTTCTATCAAACTATCATGACAGCGACTAAAAAATTCTCTATTTTGTTAGAATTAGTTGTAATTAATTATAAATTTATATATTTGCTTTAATCACTAAGATGCATTAGAAAGTAACTAATGAGTCTAATTTCATCAATCTTATCAAATTGTCATCTTTCATCGTTTTATCACATTTTACTTTTTTTTATTTGTCTTTCAAGTAGTTTCATAAAAAAAAATTCTCCAATGAATGCATTTTCTCATCCAGTGCCTTCAACTATTTCTAAATATATTTGCTTTCAAATACTCAAAGAATAAAAATATAAGATCGACTGAACCATAATTATGAAATTGCATGAGGTTTTCAAGACAAACCAACAAAAACTGTAATTTTTACATCATATATAACCGACTTAAAAATATGTATATCATAGTTTAAAATTATGGTAAAAATAAACTTTGTTTTGAGTAAATTTCACTTAATTTCTCTAACCGATGGATCCATATAAATTGAAAATGGAGAATCTGGACAAAGTGAGTCTACATGTTTGAAATAGGACGGTGGCCGTTTGGTATAATTATCATTAGGCTCTCCAGCAACAATTGAAAAACGTTGGCAGAACTCTGAAAATCGTCGTCTAAAACAATAGGGGACGTTTTCTAGGCGTCTCCTGTGCGAGCGTTGCCTATTGTTTGAGGCGACGTTTTTTTATGTTTTTTGGGTACGCTTTTGAAAAACGTCGCCTATAATAAAGGAATAGGGGACGATTATTTACGGCCTCTGAGACAACGTTTTTTAAGCGTTGCGTTGCCAAATTCGGCTACAATTAACAATCGTTGCCTTAAACCTGAATCAGGAAGATCGTTTTTGAAGTGTAGCCATAGTTTATAGGTTGTTGTTTTATAGTGTCCACATAAAATATACAATTTTGCAATTATTATCAAAATAATATAGTCAATAATAATTGGCTTCAAAAATAATATTGATTATATAACTTAAACCATACATCCATAAAAGTTGTAATATAATAAAATCGAGTTCAAACTTTAATTCAAGATATAGTATATAGAGTACACAAAATGCCTAACGTAACAATATTACTTTTAATACTTTGAAGTATGACCCTAGTAAAATAACTAAAAACATAGTTTAGCAAAAGAACAAAAATCATATTTCAAGTTTAATGCTTTCAACTACAAGCCAAAAAAAAGACATCATCCAACTCATTCAAGTTTGTCTTCTAGGAGTAAAGCATCCAAACCGTCCTCTTGAAATTCGTTAGATATATCATCCTCCATAAATTCTTCATCTACGTCGTCCTCTTCAAATTCACCATCTATATCCTCCTCTTGAAATTCATCATCTAGATCTATGTCGTCCTCTTGAAATTCGTCATCTACGTCGTCCTCTTGAATTTTATCATTTAGGTCGTCCTCTTGAATTTTATCATTTATGTCGTCCTCTTGAATTTCATCATTTATATCGTCCTTTTCAACATCTTCATTGATACATTGCTGCATAAGAAAATAAAATAAAACACATTAACCATAAGTATTTTTGGTCCAAAGGACAATTAAGACATCAACAAGAATTAAACCTCGCACAAATAAAAACTAAACCAATGAGAAAAACACATTGTTTATATTCTTCACATCTCATGGATGTGAATTAATTATGAAGGTTTTTAATGGATGTGAATTTTTGTTCTAAACTGTAATAGGTGACATGAGCTTACTAGGAAATAAATCAATTATGAAAACCATTCTGTTTTTGGCTCACTATTCAGGACTTACAATAGCCTTTAACTGTATGTATGTATAACTTGTGCTATCCTTTTATGTTTATTTTTTGGAGTAAATGAACTTTGATGAACACTCTTACTTGTTGTATCTTCTTTGGTGTTCAGTATCATATGGATAAATTTACAGCATACATAGTGAGTGTTATCAAACAAGGGGGTCCCATAATCTTATCCCAGGCAAGTATGTTTGTGAAATATCAATGAAAGCTCGCACAAATCAAACAGTTTCAGCCACTTCTAGGTGTTGTCACTACTTAAACAATTTCAACCACTTACTTTATTCTAGGTGTTGTCACTACTTGCAAATTTTTGCATACATTAACAACCATTTTGATACTATAACATAATTAGAAAAATATAAATCAATAATATTGGTATATATGGTTACCTTTCCATGACATGGAGCATGAGTTGATGTAGATGAATGCATTTGCAGTCTTATATCCTTTGGGGAACTATTAGCATCTCCATGAGATAATCCTAACAAATCTTCAATTGACTCTATATTAATTTGAGGATTGCATTGTTGTATTACGGTCTTAAAAGCATTTTGCAATCTATCAATCTTATCTTGAAACTCGTC